AAAGGATCCCATTTTTGAAATAATTTAACACCCTAAATTTCAGTAACATCAGGAGGATGAATAAGAGATATGGAGCTAGAACTCGTGGTTAGAGGAATAGGGAGGGAGGAGACAACAGGGGGGAGATGAACGATGAAGAGAACAGATTTGAAAAATAATTCCTGATGTGTTGACTCAAGTGGGAGGGATTTGAGATTTCCTCACCAACCTCTAAAGTAAAAGAAATAATTCTATTCCTCTTTCTATTAATGAGAGCATAATTATGAAAATATGAAGTAGTCTTATCCCCTTCTAAGATCCAATTGTCTCTTGATTTCATCATCCAGAAAAGTTCCTCTTGATGTAAAACATCTAAAAGTTATTCCTGTAGCTCATTTTCTAACTCAAAAAGAAAATTTGAGAAGCTATCAATCCCTTCAATCCAAGCAAGTAAGCAAGCTTTTTTTCTTAAAAATATTGCCAAAAACGTTATTTTAATTCCAGTTCTCCAAAACAGGGTGACAAATTATTTAATTTTTCAAGGAAAGGATTACTAGAAGAACACCATTCCGACGAGAAGATATTACAAAAACTGGGATCAAGACACCACATTGGTTCAAAGAGAAAAGGTTTAGGGCCTTGGAATCCATTTTTATCAGAAAAATTTAGCAAGATGGGACAGTGATCAGAAGTAAGTTTGGGGAGAACTCTTAAAAAAGTAGAAGAGAAAAGGCTCACCCACTCCATTGAAACCCAAGCTTTATCCAATCTCTTGAAGATAGGACCAATTTTTCTTTTATTGGTCAAAGTAAATATCTGACCGCAGTAGCCTAAATCAGTTAGACCACAGACATGCATACAATTTAACAAAGCATTAGCCCTATGAAGCTTAATGGGCGACCCCTAAATTTTTCATGAGGAAAACACACTTCATTAAAATCGCCAAGAACAATCCATGGTAAATTCATGATGGAGCTCAAATTTTCAAGTTCAGACCAAAGGTTTTTCCTAAAACTAACTTTGGGATTAGCATAAATATTGGAAAGCATAAAAGTTTTTCGAGAAGAAAGTACCTGAATAATTTCATGAATCCCCTGGTTTGAGGTTCTAATGGGTTCGAAGCTCATAAAGTTCGAACGCCACAGAACCCTCCCAAGAGGCCCACTGGTTCCACCATCATCCATTCATCATAAGGAAGCTTACTCACAATTTTCTCAGTACCCGATTTACTGACTCTGTTTTAAGAAATTACCAGCATAAGGGGTTGGTGCTGCTGAATAAGAAGCCTAATGTTTCTTTTGAATGAGGGTCTAGCTATCCTTCTAGGGTTCCAGTATAAGATAGACAAATCACGAATGGTTGGGGGCGTGGAAAGGGCTCGACCTCTTCTTCTGCCATGCTTCTCAGATACTCCCTCTCCCTTCCCGTTGTAAGGTCGAATAAAATGTAGTTCCTCGGCACCAAGGATAGATTGATTGATCTTCCTTTTTCTGGCGCTTCTTCTAATTCCCAGTGGATATCCATCTGAATTTGACGTTCCCTTCGTCTGGCTTTGACAATTTTGACGGCATTGGACTAACTTATGGAATCTATTGATACTGGCAGAAATTCCAATTGTATCATCTCTATAGTCCTGGGAAGAATCGGAGGGGGGTCCAGAATTCAGCAAATCCACTTTTTTCATATATACATGTGGCTACTGGCTAGGGATGGTTATTGGGCGGGTCAGTGCGCGTCATTAGCGAGGCGGGTTGGTTGCGGGTCATGATGAATATTTAGCGGGTCAGGGTCAAGGTAAAAGTGAAACGGGCCATTAACGGACCTTTACTCAAATTTAATATTTTTTTTATTTTTTATTTTTTTACAATTATTGTTTTCCTTTATTTTTTGTCAATGTCCTCCATCTTCTTCTTATTTCTGGACATTCTTAATTTCATCAACCACTTAAAAATGAAAAACAATGCAAGCTTGAAGAAAAACCGAGGAATTAACGACACTAACAATGATCCAATCTCACTTGTTAATAAATCCTCTTACCTCGATTTCTCACTCGTCAAATTTTCCCCAAGTTATTTCCTCCTAAAACTCGAACCCTATATATATCCAGATTCATAAATTAATCGTATTATTTTCTCTGCAATGATCGAGAATGGTGTAATTTGGTGGCGATATTGCCGTATTTGTCGTAATTTGTATTCACTAACTCCGAGTGCGCTTCAATGGAGAACTCTGAGTGCACTTCAATGGAGAACTCTGAGAAGCGGCTTCAATGGAGAACTCTGAGCGCGCTTCAATGGAGAACTCTGAGTGCGCTTCAATGGAACACTCTGAGAAGCGGCTTCAATGGAGAACTCTGAGCGCGCTTCAATGGAGAACTCTGAGAAGCGGCTTCAATGGAGAACTCTGAGTGCGCTTCAATGGAGAACTCTGAGAAGCGGCTTCAATGGAGAACTCTGAGTGCGCTTCAATGGAGGAGAGATGGAGGAGAGAAAAAGGTGGGCGGAAGAACAAAGGAGAAGAGAGAAAAATTGGAAGTAAGGGCTAACCCTTAGCCATTATTATTGGACTTTTTATTTTAATTCTTAAATTATTGGGCCCCAATTGAAACCCTATAAAAGCCCTACAAAATAAGACCCTATAAAAGGTCTGTCCGTTAAAAAATTAAAGAGTCAAAACCCTTAGTATTAGGCCCAACCCTTTTGCCATTGGATAGCCCTACCTAATAACCACCCCTACATGTGGCATATCATTTCTACTCTTATTGTGAGCCGAACAATTTCCTTGAGTTTTGCTCATTCGGATATACTATATCAAAAGCTCATTCGGATATACTATATCAAAAGAAAGCCTAGAGTAGATACATAAAGTAAAACAACCGAATACAACATGAGAATTGCCTCGGCTTCCTGATTCCTACCATATACAGATATACTACTATATGTCTATTGTCTATATGTATTTATGTTATCTAGGAACTGATATCTCCATCAATTACTATATTTTGATGCCAATAAAGTGATTAACGGTTCAAAAAAAAAAAAAAAGGAGGTCAAAGCATATATAGCAGCCCATGCTAGACAACACGCCGTTTTACTCATGTTGCACCTCATTCAACGCATCTCCATTTCCATGTGTTGCTTTATTTTGTTAGATTCATAAGATTTTGGCCTACTTACCTACGATGATGTTATAGGAATAAGTAGGATCACAAAGTTAATGATACAATTGATATATCGATGTATTGAATACAACATACATACATTTTCCCTTTTTATCAATTTTCCGCTTTTAATTTTTAGTGTCTCGAAGCATACTTTGTAATTTTATAGTTTAGCAGTTTTAGTATATATATATATGCTACTCTATTGCTATACATTTGAGCTCCACTCACCTCGCACTAGCACATCTTGGTTGATTAGTATTGATAAATAAAGTCTTGGTTGATTAGTGTTGATAAATAAAGTCAAACGGAATTTCAACTACGTTCACAAAACATTCTACCTTTGTGTTAGTGTCCAATTCAATGTCGATTATAATGAGCAAATGGGTTAGCTTAGTTGGTTAGAGCTTTCTTCTAGATTACAGGTGATCCTGGAATCGATTCTCATCCCCGACTTTGTGGCTCATTCGCACAAAAAAAAAAAAATGTAATAATAATGAGCAAATGGGTAAAAATTGTGCGTGGGGCCTTTTAACGTACAATTTTGTATCATTAATTCATTATATGGTATATACTCCGGTGTATAATGCCAGGCCATAATATATCCCCACACCCTAATACATCATTAAAATGATCCACAAGGACCACAAACAAGGGAATTGAAAAAAAGAATCAATTGTGGGCCGATAACTTCACTGAAGTATTGCTTGCTAGGTTGTCTTCTCTTCGCAAACAAATTAAACTAGTATACAACTTGCAGCTCGGATTGGAGCTAAGATACTACATAAGTGTTCTTACTTGTAAAGATACTTGGAAAATCTTAAACAACATGGATCGTATTGCTTTGTCATTATATCATATTGTCGACATGAAATATTTTGACAATAAGTTTGACTTATAATAAGTAAACATGTTATACTTCATACACATAGTTTATATGATTAATTATTATAATTTCTATCTATCTCCTAATAACAGTCTATACTCTGTGATAGATTTCGGAAAAACTCCTCAATTTGGAGTGTGTACCATTGATCAATACAATTATCGTAAACCTCATACGATAAGGATACAAAATATCTACAAATACTATCCTAATATCTACAATTATCCTAGTCTCGTGGCAAGCCTATTCAGGATCCTACTTTGTATCATAGTTTAGCCGGTGCTCTTCAGTATCTTACTTTCAGGCCAGATATTGCCTATGTGGTACCATAGATGTGTCTTTTTATGCATGATCCCTAGGAATCTCATTATGATGCATTGAAACGCATTCTGCGTTATGTTTAGGGTACCATTGATCATGGCTTGCATTTATATCCATCTGCTTCTCATCGTTGATTACTTACACTGACGCTGATTGTGGAGGTTGTCCCGATACCCGTCATTCAACATCGGGTTATTGTTGCTTTCTTGGGGACAACCTCATTTCTCAGTCAACTAAGCGCCAGCATACTTTATCTAAATCGAGTGCAAAAGCAGAATATCGAGGCATCGCAAATGGGTCTCTGAGGCATGTTGGCTCCGTAATCTTTTACTTGAGTTACATTGCTCTCTTCGACAGGCTAATATTGTTTATTGTGATAATGTCAGTGTTGTCTACCTTTCTGGCAACCCGGTACAACACCAACGCACCAAACATGTGGAGATGGATATTCATCTTGTTCGAGAAAAGGTTGCTTTGGGTCAAGTTCGGGTTCTACATGTTCCTTCTAAATATCAATTTGCGGACATTTTCACAAAAGGCTTGCCACGAGATTTATTTTTGGATTTTAGATCCAGTCTTAGCGTACGACCTCCTCCCACTATGACTCAGAGGTGTGATAGATATTATAGTATGATAATATTTGTCACACCCCCACAGTCATAGCGGGAGGAGGTCGTACGCTAAGACTGGATCTAAAATCCAAATATAAGTCTCGTGGCAAGCCTTTTGTGAAATTGGAGTCATGCTCCTTATTAATATCAATGTAATTTTTTCTCCTAAGAAAATTTAAAGAACTAGCAGCGGGGTGTCCCAAACGACTATGCCAAGTAGTTGGAGAAGTAACCATGAGTGTTGATGCAAGACATGAGGATGGTGGAGTGTTGGTGGTGACTGGGTAAATGTCTCCCGAACTCTTACATCTCATGATTATCCTCCCCGTCCGAAGGTCCTTCACAGAAAAACCATAAAGGTCAAATTCAATGGAAACTAGATTATCAGAGGTAAAATTACGAACTGAAATTAAGTTTTTTTATGATTTGAGGGGCTAATAAAACATCACGTAGTGCTAATTTATTGTTAGGGAGAGTAGTGTGACCATAACCCGTTATTGGAATGCGGTGACCATTACCTACTAAAATATTATTATTAGTGCTCAAATTAAATAGAGGCATGATAGTACCTGAGTTATGAGCCATGTGCGAGGTGGCACCTGAGTACATATACCATTCGTTGTCCGTGTTTGCAAGAGTCATGGACGAATAAGCAGAGCCCAATTCAGTAGGACTATATAGTAGCCCGTATTGAGGCGGCCTAGCCACGTAGGCCTGCTGAGGTGGGCTACGAGTGGTCTGGTTTGGAGATGCAACCGACCTGGGCTGCCCAATTGGTCCTGGGCGTAGGGTATGGGCAGGGGGGTATGGCCCAATATCCACGCCACTGTTGAGGAGCCCACTGCTGAGGGGGCTGATTGGGCCACACAGGTGGGTTGGCCCACTAAGATTGTTAGAGGCTGTTGGGATGAGCCTTGTTGTTGCTGCTGGGAAATGTTTGCTTGATTTGTCGAGTTGTTGCCTCGACCTCTGCCACGTCCTTTTCCACCTCCCTTGCCACCTGGACGTCCCCCACGGCTGCTGCTTGAGCCACGGCCACCTGAGGCATAACCACCATTGGAAGGGGGTTGCTGCGTTTGACCATAACCTTGAGAGGAGGCTGAATCTTGATGGGTAATAAAAGAGACTGCTGCGATTGACCTTGATCATTGGCTCGACGAGATTCTTCGAGAAGAAGTCGAGACCTGGCAGTGTTGAAAGTGGGCAAGGGATCGGTTTGTTGAATCATTGTCGCCACCATATCGAAATCGGTGTTGGTGAGACCAGACACTAGACGGATTATCATCTGTTGCTCCGAAACGGGTTGATCAATATTGGCTAATTGATCGGATATGCTCTTGAGCTGTTTACAATATGCAGTAACACTAGGAAAATTGCTAAGATAAAGCAAGTTGAATTGATTTTTAAGATAAACGGCCCTAGTGTTCTTGTTATCTTGAAAAATTTCTTTAATACGATCCCAAATTTCTTAAGCAGTTGATTTTCGAGACAAAATCGTTTCAAGGAGGTCGGTGGAGATGGTGCCGTATATCCACTGCTTGACAATTGCATCAAGACGCTCCCACAAAGAGTCCAAGACATCTGAAGAACGGGAAACGGTGGAGTCAATGTGATCTAACACATTTTAGGCACAAGCATGGTTCTCAAAAAGCTCAACCCAATTATAATATTTAACCTTCTCATAATCAAGCAGAAGAGGAATTGCATTTTTTATATTGTTTACTGTCAAAGCGGGGTGAAACCCCGACGTGAATGGTGGCGCAGGTGATGGAGGAGTGGGGTCATCGTCTTTGGCCATGACAATTCAATATAGCAGTGAACAAAAAATAAAAAGAAATTATGGTATACCGCAATCAGCGAGAAAACAGAGAACAAAAAGAAAAAGGCGCGGAAGCTTGATGAAGGCAAGGTTCCAATAAAAACAAAAAAAAACCAATAAAATTGGAAAAATAAAAAATTGAGATCTAAAGCCTAAGCTGTGATATCACGATAGATTTCGGGAAAACTCCTCAATCTAAAGTGTGTACCATAGTGTTACAATTATCGTAAATCTCGTACGATAAGGATACATAATATCTACAAATATTATCCTAATTTGTGACAAATTAATATTATCATACTATAATATCTATCACTCCGTGTCAAACTATATATTAAATACAATTATACGTGATCAACTAAATTTATCATTTGTTATACATAGGTAGTGATGGTTTATATTTATTAAATTGAGTTTTGAGTGACTGATCAACAAAATGAACTAATAACCCAATTATTTGACAAAGATAATTTTTATAAAATTATTATATGTAGTATATTTTTATGAGAAGAGTTTATATAATGTGGCAATTTTTCTAAGAAGGGGTGACAATACACTCAAAGGATGATTGAAATGCATGAAGTGTATTGTTATGGTCATCATAAACATCATGCATGAAATATAAATATTTTATGCTTTGATATTATCTAATAATAATGCTAACATAATAATTATACTATATACTGTATATTATACTTGTATAATCAACCAAACAATTATGTCACTGCTTTTGTCAAAATATGCCACCTGTTACAAAATAAGATAGCCATAACAATAATAATAATACTAATAATACTAATAATTATAATAATTATAATTATTAAATAATAAGGAACTTCTAGAAGAAAAGAATCAATAATGAAAAAATAATCTTAAATTGCTGACCTAGGCTAACAACTAACCTTAGCCAATTAAGGTAACAAAGCCGCCATTTTCATCCCTTAATTCCTCTTTAATTTTGGATCTTCAAAGTCAAAATGATCAGACCAAATTCACATTTTCATCGAGTTAATGGGAATAGGTGGCTTTATAATCAAACGAGTTTTTGAAGTAATGCATAATGTTGTCATTGTCAATATTTGTCATATTGCCTTTCTACTTGAATGGAGTGTACCAAATTAACCAACAACTTGACTGTTTTGGTTAATTAACGATGTTATGTTCAATTGTGAGACTCAAACAGATAGTATTTCCCAACAAACTAGTACTACATAATAAATACGTATAGGGGTATAGGCCATACTCTTTATATTTGAGTCTCCGGTTTCATACATTTGTTGCTTTCACGTATTAAGGACGAGTTTTGACTTCTGATCTCAGTTAAAGTATATTTATTGATTAGGGAAATTAAACTAAAATTAGTGTCATCTAAACTCGACTCAGTTGGCTTTTGTATAGTTTTCAATACAAATATTAGATTATTAATTTCATACGTTACATATAAGTGACAATTAGAAAAAGTTTAAATTTTTGAAAAATACAAGTATATATTTATATAAATCTAATAAGATCTCACCTAACCAAACAAATCTTGGTGGAGTTGGTGGAAAACTCACCTTTTGACTTTTAGATCATAAATTCGAATCCCACAAATTACATTTACTTGGAGTCAGTTCAGTATGGTCCTTCATCTTGCCTTAAAAAAAAAAAATCTATATTGAAAACTACTTCGTAGTTGGCTATTGGCTTACAGACTGTAAGCTGAAGCTGATACTCGTACTGTCGTACAACTTAAAAGTTAACTTTGGGCCTAATAACACGGAATGTTGGAAAAGTTTGGGCCTTTTGGCTGGTATGTTACGGTTGTTTGAAGTGGGCCTCTCATACAGTCATACTATGTATTACAAACATCTCGAATTATGAATTGAATAAAGTTATTAAGTCAACATCTGTGAAAAATTTTCACTTCAAAGGTTCAAGAAATTAGTACAAATATCTGTTTAAAGTAAAAAAAATATGGAATCAATTCTTTAAATTACTAGCTAATTGCACCATTGGCAGACAAAATATAATGGTTCATTTTGTATTTAGGATGTGTTAGTTTATATCAACTTATTTCGACTAATCTAAACTTATATAAAATCATCTGATCTTATATTTATGGTATGAGTATATGTCTAGCCTGATAAGAACTTAATTTTTTTGGACTTAGAGTATATCCAAATTATGTGAAAGTAAATTGAAGAGAACATAATCTTATTTATGGGAGTGAAGATCAATGGTTCATTGTAGTCCATGAATTGTATTGCTAGCTTGAGATTTATTAGGGGAGAATTTGCTCAACTCTCACTAATAATATTTTTTTAAAGAAAATCATGTCTAGACACTCATTTCTTAGTTACCCTCCGCCCCTTTATTTTTGCCTCATTACTATTTTTTGGGTCAAACTTTGAAAATTTTGACCATAAATTACCGTTAATCTATAAACGATAATATATTCATGAGTGGTCTTGTTAGATTCGTCTCGTTGTATATTTTATTAATATCACGTTTTTATAATTTTCACGTGTATGGATATAAAGATATAGACATTTTAAGACGCGTTTTGGAGACCGTATATAGTCAAATGGGGCAATAAAATATGGACAGAGGAAGTAATGCATTTTCTTGGTCAGATACTTGAATACTAGTATGGGCCACACTTTGGGCCTTCTTTTTTTTTTTTTTTTTTTTTTTTTTTTAATCTGAAACATTTGGAGTTTTATGATTGATAATAATGTACGCTTGACAATAATGTACATCAACCAAAGACAGAATTAACATATTGTGATCTTGTTAACAATAATGTCCATTAGGCAAAAATAAATTAACATGATCAGTAAGAAGACTATATTTTTCATTAAATATAAGTACCAATGATGGACAAAAGTGATCTGATAATGTCAAAAATCTATATAGTACAACTATAAACATGGAGCAAATAACATGTATAAACTATAGACAACTACAAAACCTAGAAAATATTGTGCCCAATTATATGGAACGTAACAAAGAAATGAAATTTGTTATGCTTTAGACAATTCTATTTCAAGCAAATAGAATAGTGGTTACAACTTACAAGTCTTATAAGTTACAACGGTTAAGTTCCAACTTCTTAAACCCGAGATCATGGGTTCAAGATTTCCTAGATGAATAAAAAATTATTTTGATTTTACTACTTGTTAATTTGTAAGAAGATGGTGTAGTTGACACATATGATAATTATATTGAATGGCGCCTATTATATGGTCTATATACATGTTAGACAAGTGTTTGATTTATTTGATCTCTATAAGTTTTGTGCTAAATGGCTTTTATAACGCCTATTTTGACCGAAGAAGTTTCATCATTGTGAATTGGGATCAATTTATGCCGGTCAAATATACATCAACTTTAGTTGACCATAAGACTTCCTATAGGAAGTGTAACCTATTACGTTTTTTGTCAATCAAACAACATTACAATATTTCAAGATTTGAAGCTCTATTTTGTGTGATTTCACATATCAATCAAACAAACACTTAAGTTAATATGTATCGTCAACGTTTGCATTTAGTTAATTTGAACGGCCTTTTATACCTTTTTTTTTTACCTATTAGAATCTAATTTATAACCTGAGAGTTTTCATCATACATGCATTTGTATATGTGCATGTCCCTAGACACCTTGAGGTGGAGGAGAGTAGTGTCTTTAGATAAGTTGTCTCAAATTCTTGAATGGTACTAAAAAAGTTGACTTGGCAACTTAATCACAACGAACTATAAATAAATATTACGGAGTACTATGGAAAAGAGTGTATAAATAATAAACTTATCAGTAACAAACTAACTGTAGTCATATATATATATATATATATATATATATATATATATATATATATATATATATATATATATATATATATATATATATATATATATATATATATATATCTTACATCTGATGTATGTATCATATGTAGAAAAATAGGTGTCAAATGTATGTAACTTACTTATTAGAATTTTATATAGTTTCTGAAAATAGATGCATGTGTTGAAAACTTTTAGAAAAAAACTGCCTTGAACAAAATTCAAAAGAGATAAGTTTGAACAATGCATGCAAATTTGGACATTAATTAAAATAAAGATAAAATAAAGTAGAAAGGAAAATAATCTCATTTGTCATTAGTAAGTAGTAACAGCCTAATAATAGTCATGTTCTTCACTTAGATATGATGTATATTATTATGTGCATGCAATTAAATTCGAACAATCACACTTTTCTTCCTTTGAATATAATAAAATTTAAGGTGGTTTACTTTTTGTCTAAAAGTTTGAGCACATATATATATTAGGAAAATTGGCTTAAAATAATACCAACTATCAATGGTATGTGCAAAATAATACGAACTCAACTATTTGCTATTAACGATACCACCTTTTGTACTATATGTGCAAAATAGTACGCCGGTCACCGAAAAAATATTTCGAGGAATATTCTATCTATATTTATTTTTATTTTATTTTATTTTTAATTAATTTTATGTTTTCTTTTCAAAATACATATTATGTTAACAATTCCCTTCCCCTTTGTAAGGCTTTTTTTTTTTTTCGAATTGTCAATATGTGTTTAAACATTTTTTTTTCAACATACCAGTAGCAATTTCTACTATCACACAATTGTATATAGGGTATTTAAATGCATTATTATATTGATATAATTAGTTTCAAAAACTCAATCCCTAAATTCACCAACCAAAATAATGTGGGAAATTTTTTTGATTTTTTTAAAAAATTTAAAACTAATTATATCAAAATAATAATGCATTTAAATACCCTTGGTAGTAAAAATTACTACAGGTATTTTGAAAAAAAAATATATAAATACATATTGATAATTCAAAAAAAAAAAAGGTCTAACAAAGGGGTGAGGTATTATTAATTTGGATTGTACTGTAAAGGAAATTGTTTACATAATATGTATTTTGAAAAGAAAATAGAAAATTAATAACAAAAATAAACAATAATAATAAATATAGACGAACTATTTCTTGCGATACTTTTCCGATGACCAATGCACTATTTTGCACATATAGTACAAAAGGTGGTACTGCTAATAGCAAATTGTAAAGTTTATATTATTATGCACACACCGATGATAGTTAGTATTATTTTAAACCAATTTTCCTATATATTAATATTTTAGACGAATCAAAAAGAGTAAATTAAAACCAGGAGAATTGCATGCAATAATAATACCTGTATTTACATTGTGAAGAAACAAATTGAAAAGCATGACCGCTCCCATATATTAAGGGTAGGGTGTAGTGATGTATGTTTTCATGACAATAGATAGAACACGAAAATTTGGGGGCATTTAGTTT